AGAGCCTGCTACTGCGTCTCGGTGTGTGTGTGTGTGTGTGTGTGTGTGTGTGTGTGTGTGTGTGTGTGTGTGCGCGTGTGTGTTTGAGTCATGGGTCCAGAACACCAAGCCCATCCGTCTGCAGCTTAGGCCCCTTCCTTTAGACACATAAAACATCCAGCAGCTTTTATATTTTTTCACTTATCTGAGGATTAACATAATATAGCACTTGGCAGGAACACTGCTCTGATGCTCACCTCTGACCTCTCTAGGATATGGAGGAGGCGAGAGGAAATGTAGTTGTGCAGAAATGAGTCCTTAAACCCAGAAGTGAGTTAGCATTTTAGCACTTCCAGTTCCCTCCTCTCAAAGGTTTTTTTTGACGTGGTGTCGGTGTTAGGTGCCTGAAAAAAGATCTGTGGTTTACACAAGCTTAAGAGATTTAAACATTTTGTTCTAGGTCATAAACTATGTCAATAAATACCCCACTGGTGTATGTCCGAAGCTTCTGCGTGTCATAAAAACAGCGGTTGCTAACAAGTAACTCAAAAAGTATAGTAAATGTCATCACGCAAAACATTAGCCACCTTTAGCTTAGCGGTGGTGATAGGCTTACGTTAACTTTACCTCTGACAATTGCATTATGTCATAAAAGTGGTGTAAATATATGTGTAAGTACCATAACAGGCGTTTGCCACAGACCTTTTTTTTGCAATATTCCAAAATCTAATGGGAAAATCCCATTTATTGTTGTCGAGGGAGCCCTTTCCAATGCTAACTCCTGGGTCAGCCTACAAACATACGTCATCACTGCACCACTATATTATCAATAAATACTGCTTTTTTTATACTGTGATCTAGAGTTGATCCTTTTATGTATATTTGTAGGACAAAATCGGTTCAATGCAGTCGAAAATAACTTTAAGGGGGTTTCAAGTCAATTTCAAAAGGGAGGTTTATTTTTAAATATCTCTTATGAGTCCCCTGGAAATCTTATTATAATCTCATAGCAGTAGGCTTTTTAGAGTCTGACATGACTTGCTATTTATGGCGGATTTGTGTGCTTTTCTGTGTGTTCCAGATATCTGGTCTCTCGGGGTGATCCTGTACATGTTGGTGTGTGGAGTCCCTCCTTTCCAGGAAACCAACGACAGCGAGACTCTGGTCATGATTCTGGACTGCCGCTACCGCTTCCCCAAACACGTTTCAGACGACTGCAGAGAGTGAGTACTGATAAATGACACCAGGATCAGAACATGGCAACGCTTGATAAGATTAAGCTCTGATCACAGCTTCAGAACAAACTGATTATGTGTAAAAAAAAAACAAAGATGATATTATCTTTATGGGTTTATTTCCTTCTGTGTGAATTGATTCTTTATACAAAGGCTTATTCTGCTCCCAGAGATTTTTCTGCTGTTCCACAGCCTGTCTAAAAGCTGCTGACCGTGAAATTATCTAATTAGTGTGCGTTTCACTGGATAATGCTAGTGTCCTAGTTATATCAGACACTTCTTCACCCTGCTGCCAATTCAGCTCCAGCTAAAACACTGAACACTTTGTTTTGTGGCTTTAAACAGTGTTAGAGTGTTTTCTAATGAAATAGTTCGAACATCTGTCTCCTTAAGACCATATTCCAGTCCGGTAAGATGCACAAAGACTCTTGCTTCACATTTACTCGTGGGTTTTCTCACTTCACTTTCACTCCTAACACCTCCAACCAAACAAACACTCTGTCCTCAGCTTACAGATAAACATAAAATACAGTTGGAGAGTGAATGATGAACAAATGTGTTGGAGCCAATAGAGGCGAGAGTGTAACATAGTGATGTCATTATGTTACGCAAGTAAACAAAGGAGTCCAATGAAGGCATTTCAGGCAGAGGGGGGGAGTGTGCGGGAGAGAAACTCCCTCTGGAGGGAACACAGGGATTTTAGACTTTGCAGACCATTTACATAACTGATATAACACACCGGGAAAGCGAAAACCCTAAAAGCAAAATAGGGCCTCTTCAAAAAGTAATCTTAGAATGTATTACAAATTCTTGAATTTAATGCACAAAGTCCTTCATATTTGTTGAATTCTGATGTTAGTCATAAAATGTGTTTCGACATAAGTTCCTGTTCTTGTTTCTGTTCAGTCAGCATCATCTGACCTATAGCAAGCACTGTGACTAATGTAGTTATGAATTAATCATATTAAAAAGGCTAATGCCTCCCTCTTTACTGATGCTAATCCGGTTGCATTCATTTAATGAATAATCATGAGGACTTATTGTTATTGAGAATTTCTCAGAATAATTGATCATTCTTGAAGGTGTAACCTTATCAAATCACATCATGTGGTATTAATAAAGGTCTAGCATTAAACCTAGGGAGCAGTGCAGACATCCATAGTTAAGTATCAATGTAATGATGCAGCAGGGAATTTCCACATAAACAAATTAAATAATCATACTAACAAGTATTGTGTGTGAGTGTGTAATATCCAAAACACACTGTAAATCAGTATGCCATTTATTTATTTTTTGCTTAATAGACTACCCAGTACGAATACTTTATCAAAGTTGTTAAATGCGCCTAAAGCAGGAGCTACAGTTATTTTCACTGCGTTCATTTGACCGAGTCGAGAGTGGGAGATTGGAGGCGGGGCTTAAGGAAAACTCATGTGCACACTCTTTATACATTCATGCTATAGAGTAGTGCAGTGATGACGTATCTTTGTAGGCCAACCCGGATGTAAGCTGCGCACGGGTTCCATTGACAAAAAGCAATGAGATTTCTCCATAGGATTTTGGAAAATAGCTCGAAATTAGATCTGTGGAAAACAAACCTGTTTGATAAATGCATGTTTTGTTCAGCCGGATAATATCCACATGTCTACCCTACTTTTATAATTTTCGAATCATAAATCTAATCGCCAGAAGAAAAATGCTAACGTTATGCTAAGGGTTTCCGCTAGGATTTTTTTCTCTCGCCGGTCAAATGTCCGGACAGAATTTATTTTACCAGACAAATTTGAAACTTACCGGTCATGTTTCAATAATAATAATAAGAATTGTGTAGCAGAGTTTCCGTTAGCAGGTAATTAACGGACTAGGACCTGATATGCTGATGTTAAAACTCAGTTAATGGGAGTCATTTTTATATTGCTTCAGTTTAAAATCGTAACAGATCGAAAAATTCAGATTCATTTTTCAATAAATGATTCCACAAACAACAAACAACACAATTATTACATTCAAAGAAACTACTTGTAGTAGATGAAGTACCATTCTTCAAAAAGTTTACATTAACTTTAAATAATAACACGGGAGAAACGGATCCTCTCTTTTTCCTCCCTCCCTCCCTCTCTCTCCTAGACCAGCCCGTCAGTTTCTCATGGCAGCGCGCTAAACAGTGGGCGGGCTTGAGGTGATCATGCAGCAGCTGATCCGATCTCTCTCGCGTCCGGTTACACTTCACTCGCGGTTATGTCCATATCGATCAGATCCAGCTCTCCTGATCGGCCTTTATAGAGAGCACAGATCAAACTATTAAGAGTGAATATCGGCCGATAATGGCGGCCAATCGATCGGAGCATCGGACATTTTGACCGGCAGGTTTCGAATTTACCGGTTTTTGTTAGATTTTACCAGCTAAAAACGGTAATTACCGGCTAACGGAAACCCTGGTTATGCTATAAACAAACTACTGCAGGGTCGCACCACTTCAACGTCACTCCAACTTAAGATCGATATTCAAACATACAGATTCTAAATGGTACAAGTTGAAGCGTTTGTTTTAACAGTTTGCAGGAGGCAGGTACTTGCTTTCAAGCAGAACAGGGCAAACAAACTTAGCGGGAGTGTTTACGTGTTCAGAGTAATGATGTACAACGTCCTCCACAACTTCTATAGTCCTATTCAGCCACTTGGTAACAACCATCGTTTTTCAGACACGTCAACTCTTCAAAAGTCACCAGTGGGGTCACTGCTGATGTATTTAATGTCGTAGAACATAACGTGATCCGTCTCTTAAGTTTGTGTAAACCACAGACCTTATTTCGAGCTGATTTAAAAAAACATGTTCAAAAAACCGTTGACTCTGAGACGAGAGAACCGGAAGCGGTAAAATGCTAACTCACTTCCGGGTTTTAAGACTCGTTCCTGCACCACTCTATTAAGTGTTATTATAACAGGGCTCGTCGTTTATCCCTATTCCTGCTGAAAAACAAACACACTGAACCAAAAACATGAATTCACACTGATTTCCTGTTCTCTAGAAGGCAACAGAAAATCCCCTAATAAAGTGGTGTGTTCGATAAAACACATCCTGGAACGTCTGAACCAGCACTTGTCATATGACTCCAGTGTTTCCCCTAGGTTTACTGCCTTGGCAGGGTGCTACTCGGGTACCCAAATTTTTTGTATCCTCTGGAGCAGAGAGAGGAGCTGTGGATTATTGTTATTGATATCGTATTATTATTATTATTAATAATTGATATCGTATTATTACGATATCATTACGATATCATTACAATATCATTGATTATTATTACGATATTATTACGATACGATATCGTATTATTATCGTATTATTATCGTATTATTATCGTATTATTATTATTATTATTGTTATTGATATCGTATTTTTTTTTTCAGGGTGCTGCTCGGGCACCCACATTTTTTTTATCCTCTGGAGCAGAGAGAGAAGCTGTGGATTATTGTTATTGATATCGTACAGTAACAAAGTATTTGTACATTAAAAAGTAATAAAGTACAGTGTTACACTGTACTTTATTACTTTAATTCAAACTGTATTCCCTTCTTATCATGTAGCCTATACTTCTTCCTTTCATTGATACATTTAAATCATCGGAGCCCCGCCCTTCAGAAACAGAGCGGAGGGAGAATGTGAATACGCAAGGCAGTGGACACTGAAACATGCACATTGGATAAATAACATAGGCGTTTAGTTTATTTAATAAAATAGCACATGTTCAATGTGAAACGTGACCGTAGATAGATTACTTCAGTTGCAATTTGGTGCTATATATATATATATATATTTTTAAATAATAAAACAATTTTTTTTTTTAAAACACCTTGAATTTCAGGCAGGGCGCGGGGCTCCGTTGGCAGGGCGCAGTTCCCCGCCAAGACAATGGTAGGGGAAACACTGAGAGACTTAAACATTATTTTGAGCTGCAGATAGAGTGAGGTTATAATTGTCAGTGTTTTTCTAGCAAACTCAAATTGTACATTCATTTGATACATTTTTAGTATTAAAACATGATTTACTCAAGCTTTAAGGCAGAGGTGTCAAACTCAATTTCATCGCGGGCCACATTAGCATTATGGTTGCACTCAAAGGGCCGGTTGTAACTATATAAATATACATATATATAAAATAATGTACTATATTACATTATTGCCTCTGAATTGGGTTATTATCAGATTGGGTAATAACTAACTAAGTTTGAAAGCAGAAGTCCAGGACAAATAATTGCAAGTCTCTTCAGTGCGTATGTCACAAAACGAGATGCATTGTGGGACAGGCCTCTGTAAAGTGGCATGTAACCGTATAATAAACTTATTATATTTTTTGCAAAGCTCTTGGCGAGCCACATTAAATGAAGTCGCGGGCCGGATTTGGCCCCCGGGCCTTGAGTTTGACACCCCTGTATTAGAGGTATAGTAGTACGTATAGAAAGCAGATGATGATAAAGTAACGTTTGTGAAACTGAGTTATTAAACATACCGATAAGTCAACCCTCGATAATATTATATTGTTTGTTGTCGATCTACTTTAAGTGTCATGNACAGAGCGGAGGGAGAATGTGAATACGCAAGGCAGTGGACACTGAAACATGCACATTGGATAAATAACATAGGCGTTTAGTTTATTTAATAAAATAGCACATGTTCAATGTGAAACGTGACCGTAGATAGATTACTTCAGTTGCAATTTGGTGCTATATATACATATATAAATTGTTTTAAATAATAAAAAAAAAAAAATTAAATAAAAAAAACAACAACAAAAAACACCTTGAATTTCAGGCAGGGCGCGGGGCTCCGTTGGCAGGGCGCAGCGCCCCGCCAAGACAATGGTAGGGGAAACACTGGACTCAGTCACATGATGCTGTTTAAATATTGAGAAGGAGCAGAATAGAACAGAACAACCTTCTGGACTTTAATACAGTGCTCAAGCTATTTTAGTAAGATGTGGGGAGATGACCTAGATCAGATATAATCAGGTTATTGTCTGTGTCAAATGCAAGCTTTTCATATCTCTGTGAAACAATAACGCTCTGTGTGTTTCAGCCTGATCTCGAGGATGCTGCAGAAAGCCCCGTCTCTGCGCGCCTCGCTGCAGGAGATCCAGGCTCATCCCTGGCTGCAGGGGCTGGATGACGCCCTACTGAGCCCAGAGGCCCCGCCACACTGGCTCTCAGGGGCCCTCTCTCCAGGCTCTCCCCGCTCAGGAGCACCTGAGTGTGGGGATCTGCTTGCTGCCAGACCCCCACCTCAACCTCAGACCTTCCCTGGCCACTGGCAACCCAGCCTCAGCTTCACCCTCAGACCTCCTCCCGCTGAAGAGCCACCAGTCCCTAAGAACATCCCTGCACTACAGCAGATATGTGAGGAGGAGGAGGAGGAGGAGGAGGAGGAGGGGAGTTTGGCAAAAGAGGGTGAAGGTTTAGAATCTTTGCAAGAAGCAGAGGCAGAAAAAGACGTTGAGGAGATACTTAAAGGTTCAGATAACCAAAAAGAAGGATTAGGAAGCTTAATGGAGATAGTGGAGGAGGAAAAGGTGGAAAATATGGAGATAGAGGAGGAAGACAGTGGGTGTGTGATTTCAGACCAGCCTGTCGGACATGGAGACAGGCCTCTCAGGCCGACCCCTGCCCTCCCACCGTCCTCTCTGCCTGGTTTGGTGGTACCGTGCTGTCGGGGGCAGCCGGAGTCCCCGAGCCTGGAGGAAGGAAACGACGAGGAGACAGAACCCAACAACAACAAGGCTCCTCCTCTCCTCCCTGATCCCTCTGATCCCTCTGATCCTTCCAGCCCCGCCTCCTCTCCAAGACTCATCCTGAGTGACAAGGAGGCGCAGAAACAGGAGAGAACAGAGGAGGGAGGGAGAGAGGACCTCTTAACGGACAGATCTCCACCCCGGGAAGAGGCTGCTCCGAGGGTGGAGCAGGGGAAACGACACAGCCTGAAGCTGCGTGAGAGACTCTTCCAGTTCCCCCTGTGTGAGAAAGCTCTGGCCTTCAACATACCCACACAGAACAAGCCCAAGATCCTGCCGCTGGCTCAGTACAACTGCTGCCATGTGCTGTAAGTGAACCCACTGACTGGGGACATGCAGGCTGCTTAGCAGGGGGCAGGTGGCGGGACACTTTGTGCAGAGCCAAATGGGACGAGTAAAGCTAACCCACAATCACCCCCTTCTAGCATTGTGCTCATGTAATTAACATTGTGCTGAGCTAGAGGTGGTGTACTGCACTGTAGTCAGACTTAGTAGAACCTCATGCTACTGTTACCGGAGATTTATAATGTGTCCAATCTGTAGCTTAGAAGCAATACTGGACCTACAAGAAGAAGAGATAGGCTACGTTCACACTGCAAGCTTTAGTGCTCAATTCTGGGAATGTTTTGGTTTGGCTGTTTCCCGTTATAGTTTTAGAAGTGACCATTATTGTGTGAACTGGTCCTGAACTGATCCGCATGCACAAAATAAGAATTACAAAGAAGTCACACACAGATAACTTTCAGAAGCATGGTGGCATGTGTTTACAGAGGAAGCAGGTGATGACTTTCACTGTCCCTCCACTGTATACACAATGTCAAATTAGACAGAAAAGTCACATGAATTCAGATTGAACTGTTCCAAAAAGAAATAGCAGACCTGCATCTGCCCAAATCAGAATTAAAGAGGCCCTATTATCTTTTTTTCCTGTAGTGTGTTCTATAGGTTTGTGTGCAAGTAAATGGTCTGCAAAGGCTAAAATCCCAAAGTGAGTTTCTCTCCCACACTCAAACCATCAGCCCCCCCCCCACCTGAAACACCTCCATTGGACTCCTTTGTTTACTGCCGCAAAGTAGTGATATCAACACGTTACACTCGCGCTTCCATTGGCTAGATCTCCAACACGTTGTACAGTACGTGATAGGCTAAGGGGCAGGGACGTCACTAAGGGGTTGACAAATCACAACAGAGCTGGCCAGCTAACCAATCAGAGCAGACTGGGCTCTGGTTTCAGACAGAGGGTGTAAAGAGGTGCTGCAGCACAAACAGTATGAGAAAAAGAAAGAGCTTTTTGAACATTAAAGCATGGAGACATGTCCCAGTGGAGACACACATAAATATATATACCTGAAAAGGAGCATAATAGGGCCCCTTTAACAAGGTCTGGTTTCATGTGATTTGTGTTGTTTACACCGTTATGAAAAAACCCCAGATCTGAGTCAAATATGTGCTAAAAAGCTTTTGGCCTGCATTCTGAACGTAGCCATAGCAACTGCAACCATTTTTATTGAATAAGCTATAGTCTGTTTTGTTTGTTTAAAAGGTGCCTACATGGATGGAATGAGTTTCATACTGTACATTTTGACTGCAAAAAGCTCTTCAACTCAGAATGGTCTCGCACTCCATGATTTCATATTTTCTAATATATGAATTAGAATAAAGTTTGAACCAGCTTCTGCTACAGAGTAGCTCTCCTTTCCTTGCCCCTTTGCACAACCCGCTGCTCTCAGTGGTTTAAAAGCTCTTTATATAAGCTCTTTTAAGAAAGACTGTTATGATATGATGTGATATATGACATGTAATATATGCCTAAGACTGAGATGATGATGATGATGATATGATGCTAAAACCTGAAGTTATCCAATATAATAACTTGTCCTAACATACTGTATTATACTATTGATAGGATCATTGATTGGGATGCAGGTCTTCCATTTATTTTTATTAATGCTGAACATTTAAACAATCCTAACAGTTTTATTTTATTTTGGATGTGCAGATATGAGATTTGAGGTTTTTTTTTTACACCGTGACAAAGGTATTTACTATCTGAAGAGAAATGTGACTTTGTGCATGTGCTTACTGTAATTTATCACACTATACCTCCATGTGTCTTGTATCTGGCAGGACATGCTCTCGTGTAACTGTAAGTAAACCCACTGAATGATGAATTGCACACACTGCTGTCGCTGGTAGCTTTCTAGAAGCATCTTTGGACTGATGGATGGAGTTCATTTACACCCAATGATGTGATATGTTATAGTGTAGCCTCTGTATGGTATTGTTTGACCATATAAATCTTGTGTGTGTTCCTATATTTTCTCATTACACACTGTATTTTTCCTCTTTCGAAGCTGAGACGAGAATTTTGTAAAGTTAAAGAAGGCCAAAGCTGTACAATAACAGTGTTTTCCTGTCAGTCACTGCCGCTTCACAGGGACAACAAATTGGATTTGATCTTGGGACCTTTGAACAAACACTCCCCCTCTTTATAAGGAACTGATGCGTGTGAAGCCTGATTATCACTCGTATTTCATCAGCTGTAGAAGGGTCAAATATGTGCAGGAGAGGGATGAAATCCTGTTATTTGTTCCTGTGTGATTGCAGCCTGTCTCTCCTCAGTGTGTCTACTGACCTGCATTGAAGCTAGGATCACGACTCCATGGAGCCATGAACTTATTTTTCTGTATTTATTTATTAAAAAGGATTAAATTAACAGGATGGATGTGTGTGCTGATTTCATAGAGTGTGGACACTGATATTGTTTCTCCCACACACACACACTAAAAATGTAATAATGTCTTTACAACAAGGCTGGACCCAGCTCGGCCCCAGCCCCAGCTGCCCCTATAAACCCCACAAAGCCCAATATCAACTGAAACGATAGGTAATAGGATACTTCTACAAACCACAGAGGGAGATAAACAAAGGGATCAATACGGTGCCACAGTTAGTTTGTTGCCTAGTTGGCTCTGTTCCTCCGCTCACAGCACCTCAGGCATTCTGTTCTGATGCATGAGGATAAGCCACATGCCCATGTGAGAACTAACTAAAGCAATTACTGAATTACAAACACAGAAACACGACTGTATGATTCGGCCACTGGTGGAAGAAGCATTCGGATTATTCAGTAAATGTGCAAAAAGAAAATGCATTCAAAGTCTTACATTTGTAAAAGCATAGCATTTGATCAGCTAAATGTATTGTATCCTTATTTATTACACAGCAGAATGTATGTTGTGTTTTTGGATTATCTTTAGAAATTCAATAATGTAACATTTTAACATTTTTTGGGATGCTCTGGATCGACGTATACGACAGCGTGTTTCAGTTCCTGCCAATATCCAGCAACTTCGCACAGCCTCAGGGTCTGGGGGGGTCCG